CTATTAGCTAATATTTTATTGAGGATTTTTGCATCTACATTCATCAAAGAAATTGGCCTGTAGTTTTATTTCTGGTGTGTCTTTGTCTGGTTTTGGAATGAGAGTGATGTTTGCCTCATAGAATGCATTTGGGAGAATGGACTCTGTTTCAATTTTTTAGAATAGTTTGTAGAGAACTGATATTAATTCTTCTTTAAAGATTTGGTAGAATTCTGCAATAAAGCCATCCGGTACTGTGCTTTTCTTTGTTGGGAGACTGCTGATAACAGTTTCAGTCTCTTTGATTGTTATTGGTCTGTTCAGGTTTTTTATGTCTTCTTGGCTCAAACTTGGTAGTTTGTGTGTGGCCAAAAATTTATCCTTTTCTGCCAGATTTCCAAATTTGTTGGTGTATAGCTGCTTATAGTAGTCTCTAATGATTCTTTGTATTTCTAAGGTATCAGTTGTAATATCACCTTTTTTCATTTCTAATTTTTGTTATTTGTGTTTTCTTTCTTCTTTTTCTAGTTAGGCTTGCTAATGGTTTGTGAATTTTATTTGTCTTTCAAAACCAACTTTTTGTTTCATTGATTTGTTGCATAATTTTGGGGGGGTTTCTATTTCATTTAGTTTTGCACTGATTTTAATTATTTCTTTCTGTCTACTAACTGTAGGTTCAGATTGTTGTTTTTCTAATCCTTTAAGGTGAAGTGTTAGGTTGTTTACTTTCCATCATTCCATCTTCTGAAGTAAGCATTTAATGTGATAAGTTTCCCCCTTAGTACCACTTGTGCAGCATTCCACAGCTTTTGGTTTGATGTGTCATTATTTTCATTAGTTCAAAGAAAATTTTTGATTTCCCATTTAAATTCTTCTTGGACCCATATGTCATTAAGTAGAATGTTGTTTAATTTCTATGTATTTGTATAGTTTACAGAGGTTCAATTGTTATTGATTTCTAGTTTTAATCCACTGTGGTCTGAAAAATACATGGAATAATTCCAATTTTTTGAATTTGCTGAGACTTGATTTGTGACCTCACATGTAGTCTATTCTGGAGAATGTTCCATGTGCTGATGAGAAGAATGAATTTTCTGAGGTTGTTGGATGAAATGTTCTATAGATATCTGCCAAGTCCAATTGGTCTAAAGTGTTGTTTAGATCTTGTATTTCTCTGTTGATTTTTGGAATAGGTGGTCTGTCCAATCTTTAGAGTAGGGTGTTCAGGTCCCCTGCTATTATGGTATTAGGGTCTATCTCATTCTTTAGGTCTAATAGTGTGCTTTACAAATCTGGCTGCTCCAATGTTGGGTGCATATATGTTTATGATTGCTATGTCTTCTTGATGGACAGATCCTTTTATCATTACATAGGGGCCTTCTTTATCTCTTTTTATGGTTTTTGGTTTAAAGTCCATTTTATCTGATATGAGAATAGCTACTCCAGCTTGTTTTTCATTTCTATTTGCATGGTATGTATTTTTCCATCCTTTCATTCTTACTCTGTGTGTGCCTTTACAGGTGAGGTGAGTCTCTTGAAGGCGGCAAAGTATTGGGTTCAACTTTTTTCTTCTTTTTTTTTTTTTTGTCTTTTTTCATGTCCGGCAATGGACTGCAACCCTCAGTGTCGTGCCCGTACCGGACCGGGACCGGCAACGGGACCGCAACCCTCGGTGTTGCTCCCACGCCTCGCTCAGCCAGTGAGCGGGAACCGGTCTGTATGTGGGATCCGAACCCTCAGCGGGAGCGCCACCGCGCTTCCCAAGCAGCGCACTGCAGCAGTGCGCCACCGGGCCGGCCCTGGGTTCAACTTTTTAATCCAATCAGTCAATCTGTGTCTTTTGAGTGTGGAATTTAATCCTTTTACATTCAGACTTATTATTGAAAGGTGTTGATTTACTCCTAGCATTTTATTGATTTTTGTTTTGGTGTTTTAAGTATCTTTTGTTTCTTTCTGATTTACTGTTTGTCTTCTGTGTTTGTTGGTTTCTTGGGCTGGTAGATAAATTGTTTTTTCCTCTCTTTATTGGTAGCCTTTTTACTTTACTTGTGGGATTTGTTCTTTCTTGAATATTCATGGTAGTGATGGTTGTTTTTCAGGTACCAAACCCAGTACTCCCTGGAGAATCTCTTGTAAGGCTGGTTGTGTGGTAGTGAAGGCTCACAGTTTTTGTTTGCTTCAGAAATATACTATTTGACCTTTATTTTGGAAGGATAGCCTTGCTGGGTAAAGTATTCTTGGCTGGCAATTTTTGTTTTTTAGTATTTTGAATATATCATCCCATTGTCTCCTGACTTTTAGGGTTTCTCATAAAATGTCTGATGTTAGTCTGATAGGGACTCACTTGACACTTCACTCTTGCAGCTTTTAAGATTCTCTCTTTGTCTTTGAGTTTTGCCAGTTTGACTATAACATGTCTTAGAGAGGACCTTTTTGGGTTGAATATGTTTGGGAATCTTTGAGCCTCCTGAAACTGAAGATTTGAATCTCTCCATATACCTGCCAAGTTTTCTTCTATTATCTCATTGCATATATTTTCAATGCCATTTCCTTTTCCCTCCCCTTCTGGAATATCCATGATTTGGATAGTTAAGTGCTTAAGATCGTCTGTTATCTCTCTTAGATTTTCTCCTATTTTAAAATTTTTTTTCTCTTTTTTTTTTTGTCCCCTTGTGTTATTTTGAACAGGCCATCTTCAAGGTGAGAAAGTCTCTCTTCTGCTTGTTCTAGCCTGCTGATTAAGCTCTCTGTTGTGTTTTTTATTTTGTTTTATGAATCCTTTAGCTCCACAAGCTCTGCTACATTCTTTTTCATGGCATGGATTTCTTTGTACATTTCCTCTTTCCGGTCTAGTATACTTTTTCTCATTTCATTGTGTTGTCTAACTGAGATTTCTTGTATCTCATTTAGTTTCCATAGAATTGTTGCTCGAAATTCTTTGTCAGTCATTTCAAGGACTTCCTGTTCTGTAGTATATAAACCTTGGGAGTTGTTATATTCCTTTTGTGGTATCACACTTCCTTGGTTTTTCATATTACTAGTATTTCTCCATTGGTGTTTAGTCATTGTGGCAGAGGCTTTCACAGTCCACTTGTTCCACCCTGGTGTTTGCAGCAGTGGCAGAGAGTTTTGCAGACGCTCAGCTCCCTGTTGCTGCCTTAGGGGCTGGAGGTTGGTGGTTCAGGCCTCTCAGGTGTGGGGACTCACCTGGCCTGGATCCCATGGGGACTGCCAGGTCAGAGCTGCAGCCTCGGGGCCTGGGGTTGGTGGTTCAGGCCTCTTGGGGCTGTTTCTAACTTTTTATCCTTTCCTTTGGTTATCCTTCTTTACAATTACAGCAGGAGGATGAAACTCCTCAGTACCCCAGGTCTTTGTTGCAATCACTTCTTAATGAAGTTGATTTTTCCTTTGAAAAACAGGATTATGAGAATCCAGTAATATATATTTTCAAACAAAAAATATTTTATTTAATAATTACTTAGCTTTCTGCTGCAAATATATATTTACTAGTTTTATCCTTGCTGAGGGATTGAGGACTACAGGTTTGTCTCTGTCTCCTTGAATATGTAACACTGTGTCATACATATATTAGGACTTTCATTCATTCAAATTTTCACTGAGCATTTTGATTTACCAGACATTGCCCAGAGCTCATGGTTTACTGTAATAAACAATCAGTCCCTGCTTTGCTTGATGAAATTTGATAAATTTACTTTTTCAATTGCACTATGGACTCAACTTGCAGACATGGCCATAAAATACATGTTACTCACCTGTAGCAGTGCCAGGAAGCTTCCCTAGGCATATGACACAACCAGGCTGCCTTAACTGTTTGATTTAATGGACACAAATATATTATACAGCACCTGAGATGGTGCTAATGACATGGCCTGTACTGAGTGTGTCAACATCTCATTGAGCACATTATTGTAGTCCTTAAAGATGGGTCCACTAGCCTATGAACCCCTGAGCAGTAATTATGTATTTTTCATCTTTGAACTTCCCTCTGCCTTCAGAAATAGCTCAGTGCCTGAATTTAGTAGATGCTCAATAAAGTATTAATGTAATGAAATAGTGATAAGTATGGTAATAACATTTTACTGCCTACAATAATAAATATTTCAGAAATATATCCACTTACCGCATTACTGCAGATACTGAGTGCCATTATTAACCCAACTAAGTGGTATCACATAGCATATTACGCTGCCTCATTTTGACTACATTTGGAATATATCATTCTGCATTTCTCTTTTCTGGGATTTATAATTTAAGAGCCCTAGAGGCAACAAGAAATGCATTATGTGAATTTATGGAAAAATATCCATTTTAAACATTGGCTATCCCTAGCCAAACAGCTGAACCTGATGTTACTTTATTAAATCCAGACATGGGTTTTGCAGGCTTGTATCTTTCAATATAAATTAAATCAAACCTTAAACATTGGGGGAAAAGGACTGAAAAGTAGCCAGCTGCCTCAATAGGGGCCAGATGCCATACCCTGGAATCACTCTGCTTATTCTATGCAAGAACTCAATTTAACATCTAGGTAGCTGGAAAATTCAGCTAGGAAATTAGTCTGGTAACTAGCTTTTTTGAATAATTTCTGGAAAATCTGTCATTTAGAAAAATCATCTTAAAAGGCATCTTTCATGGACAGTTACAAATTCTAGCAGCTTTCCTACATGATATACTGACACTGAAACTACACTTGAAATTTAAATGCATCTTAAGTGGATTAGAAATAAGCATTTATAAATAACTAGGTTACACATGAAAGGTAGTTACCACCAAGCAACACTACAGAAATTATTTTAATAGTATTAAGTTTATAGAAAAAAGCAAGGACCTTGAATGAACCTAATAATTAATAAGAAAATAATTCAAAAATCCCTTTGAAAAAAAGTATTCAAAGATTTAGTCACAAGTCAAAAAACAATATTTTACTATTAACCATGTTATGTTTATTTAAAAGCCAAAAATAATTTGAGGAAACATGAAAACACACAAATTTCAGAGAATAGCTTCTGTTTGTTTTTTAATCAACCTGATCAGTTTACACAATGAAATACCATTAAGAAATATAGGAATTATAATATGAATTGTAGTATAAAAATATGACATGACATTTTTTAAGAAAAGAGAAATAGTAACTGTAAGAGGCATGTTAATATCACAAAAACTTTTAAATGGAGATTTAAAATGTCAAGTCAAAGCTAAATATATATACATATATTAGTATTATGCAGCAGGTCTTGGAATACAGGGATGTAGGCAAGTAAAAATAAAAAAAAGATAAACTTTGTGAATACTACTTATCTGATTTTCTATATTAAATGCCAGACATCAGTATAGAAAATACATATGTCTGTGTAAGATTGCAATTGCATTTTCAAATATAAGGCAGTTATTATTTTAGAATGCAGCAGCTTTACTTTAAAAAAAAAAAACGCTAGTAGCAGCATGTAAAAATGAATATTACAAGAAACTGAGTAAAACAACTTTAACCATGAATGCCAGACATCAGTATAGAAAATACATATGTCTGTGTAAGATTGCAATTGCATTTTCAAATGTAAGGCAGTTATTATTTTAGAATGCAGCAGCTTTACTTTTAAAAAAAAAAACGCTAGTAGCAGCATGTAAAAATGAATATTACAAGAAACTGAGTAAAACAACTTTAACCATGAAAAGATAAATATAATTAAAAAACGAGGCACCTTTCTTTCATTTCAAAAAGAACTGTGGGCTAAGGCCCAAATCTCAGAATAACCCCACCTAGGACACTGAGGCCTTCTTTCTTTAATAAGGCGCAGAAGAAGAATACATTCCACTGGACGTACAGGCTGTGTTGAAAGAACACAGTCCATGTCCTGGTTAGAAGCTAAAGTGCAGTGGGAGCAAGTTAATCAGAGTGTATTCACTTATACACTGTGCTTTTAATTAGTTATACAAACAAGCACAATTGATACTCTTTACCTGGTCCTACGTAGTCTTTACTGATAAGCTGTAGATCAGAGAAGTAGCATCTTTGCTGTGTTTTGTTATTTTCTTTGTGTAGACACATATTTGCCTATCATGTAAATAAAAAAAGCAGCAAAGCAGTTTTAAACAGTGTTAGAATTTTCAGCTTTTGCTCTTATAAAGTGCTACAGAAAATGCCACATTTCAAAATTTAAAACATACATAACCCCGTGTCTTGCCATTAGAACAGCACGGCAATCACCATGGATCTTCTTGAAAGAAAAAACAATGATCTCTTCTGCATCACATCAAATAAGACACAAAGGTTCAATACGCAATCTTAGAGATGCAGCCAAACATATTTTATATATAAGGCATCTGTGACCAAGAGAGGTTATGTATTAAATGTATAAATGTATTATATATAAATGTATTAAATGCAATCTTCTTACTGATATCTCTAAATTGCTCAAGATTGTGACTGGCTGTGGCCTCAGTCAGCTCCTTTCCTGATAGTCTGATCCTGCCTTCATATATAGGCAGCTCCTTATTGTCCATGCCAGGGAATGAGGAAACAGGCATGGAAAATATAAACCTTATAATTAAAAACATACATGCTTTATTTTGTTATAAAATCAAATTTCCCATTGAAACTTTTATAAACTTGGCAAAATAGATTTGATATCTGTACACAAGTAAAAATTTTCCTTGTACAATAAAATATAATGTTGCTGTGGGCCTTCCTTTTTGTTTTTAAATAGTATCAATCTTTTCACCTGGAATCAAGTTTGTCTAAGAGGACCTGTTGATGGAGAGAGGTAAGAGACTGTTACAGGTAGAAGTCCTGTTACTGTGTCACTGCAAAGATTGCTCTAAAGAGCCCACCATTTCACTACCTATTAATGTGAGAGCTCTAGGACTCATTTTCCCTTATCTCATGCTTATAGTGTTTTCAAGCTTATTTTGTGTATGTTTACTTGGTCAATGAGTAACAGCTTTTCAGGAAGAACTCCTTGTCTACTAAGTGGACAGACACTCAATTGAAACACACATTTAGGCTGTGTTCTTGTACTCACACACTCAGCCTATCTGTCAAAGCTAGCACCCAATAAAAATAATCTGCAAAGCAGAAAATATACTTGCAAACAATTGAGGGTTGACTCTAAACCTAATCCAAGTTTTCCAATTTTTTGATTAACCGTAATTGATGATTTGATGTATCCTTCTATCTTGATGAACGTTGTGGTGGAGATCTTTCAAAATACATGAAGTCCTGAAATTGGAAAAATAATTATATGCGTGGGTTGACTCTAAACCTAATCCAAGTTTTCCAATTTTTTGATTAACCGTAATTGATGATTTGTTGTATCCTTCTATCTTGATGAACGTTGTGGTGGAGATCTTTCAAAATACATGAAGTCCTGAAATTGGAAAAATAATTATATGCGTATAGATAGGAGGAAACATAATCAGGTATAATGCATACAATATTATACTTTATAATTTATCAGGGGAGTCTCCCCTTCCAGTTAAAAATTAATACATCTAATAAAATCTTTGTGTAGAGAACCTAATGCAAAGAGCAGCAATTACAAACTTGGAACTGTTGGTAGACAATAAGCTTTCCATCTTGGGTGTCAATTAACTAAATTTAATCATTAAAAGGAGGAAAATCTTGATAAATCTAAGAATGGTGGTACAGCAAGGACTATCCTAAGACAGTAAGGAAGGGGGAAAGAACATCAGCTACAGAGGTATTTTATCTCATTAAGAAGTGCTAGGACAGGCATCTGTAAGCAGTGAGAGTGACAACGTGTTTCAATGACAGTCACACCCACTGCATGCCTAACATCTTCCAAGCACTCTGCTGGCCCTTTACCCATGTGATAGGTAACATTCATAATCCTGAAAAATACAAGGATGTTTACTTTACAGATGAGAAAACCGAAGCATGCAATTGTTAAATACTTTGCAGAACATGTGACTAGTAAGTGGCAGAGACAGAAGGAGCCTGCTTTCAAAGCGTGTTCCCTTTCCACCTCACTACACCGGTTTTCAGCAGAAAGAGCGATTCTCTCAGGATAACTCAAAATCAAAAGGCTTACGATGAGGAAGCAGGCTCCAAAGACCATGGCTTTCATCTTCACATCCAGATCCAGTGGGAAGTGAATGTCAAAATGGTCAGCGTCTGCCATCGCTGACAACATGCCATTCCACCTCCTGATGACGCTGCCGATGCTGGACACACCATCAAGGGATTTGACCTAAAATGACAACAGTGGGACTTTATGATGACTGAAAGGAATTAAAGTACATGTTTTCACCTTCTATTTAGAAGCAATTTACACTGAGATAGCACATACAATGTAGGAAAAGAATACAGTAATTACATAATTTCAAATGAAGAAATTATGACAAAGAAAGGTTAAGTGCCTGTCAACTGGTTAATAACTAAACTGGGGTATATTTTATAATTCTTGGGCCAGTGCTCCTTCTTCACCTTCAAATGAATTATAGGGGAGCTTGTCAGAGGATATATAATTTGAAGTGATTGTCAAATTCTTCTTCATAGAGCAAAGTGTGGAAATTGGAGATTGACATTCATTTCTAGTCTAGGGAAACCTACAAGCAAAAGCAGAAAAGCATGGCACTGTGTGCTTTACGTCACTCAAGCTTTTGTGGGCCAAATCCACCCTGTATTCTCAACATAGGTCAGGGCACCCAAGGGCTTCAGCTTCCAAAAGGGGATCTTGGCACTTGCCCCATACAAAAATACTAACGTCTAATGTCACTTGGCCATGAGAATGATCACACACACACACACACACCC